CTCACTGACACACACACTGTCAAACAACCTATAACCCGTCGCTTTCCTCCCACCAGGCTTGTAAAACTCCAGAACCAGGTCACTGTGGAACTGGACAAGTTTATGTCCGTCATCCGTGCCTCGTTACGTCAGTTCCGCCAACACCTGGACGAGACGCTGCAGATGCTTCGAGAATCCAACGCCAGATTCATCAAGTCCTTCAAGTGAGTGTTCTTTGTACAGTTACACTTACTTTACTTTTACTTTTATCCGCCGCTTATACCCTTTTGGGCGTCGCGTGAAGAAAAAGACGTCTCACTGTCACCAACCGAAGAGCTTGGGTCCGGGGGATGCCATGAGTTGTTAGTGTTTCCCTAACTCCATTTATGCAGGTCTTTCTCTAACCTTGTTGCCCTTGAATTTCTTTACATAGGCACGTTGTGCTGGATGGTGTGTTGGTAATGGCATGAGATGTCGGAACCATTAAATTTTGGTTCTTTTGTGTTGGATGTGATACATGGCATCATGTGTGCCCACCTTTTCTATGACTACTGAGTTTCTAATTTTGTCTCCCCTGGTCTTGTTTACTGCTTTCCTAAAACATCGCATTTCACATGTTGTAATTCTTTAGAGTTAACAGAGTCCACTTAAACGGAACACAGTTAATCCGAAAACAGCGAGCGGTAAACCGAGAGGAAAGAAAATCCCCGCTACGACTTAAAACCTCTTCACTGTTGTGTACTCGTATGATTTCGCTTGTAATTTTTTTGGGTTTTTAAAAAAAAGTTATTTTTCATATTTAAAAAAATCTTAGTGAGAGTTCAAAGGTACTTGCAACATAAATAGAACATATAAGTGCCGAGGATTAGAGGTGTTGCTTGAGAGTGACATACAAAGAAATGAATGAGGGGAGATTAGGACGATAGATGCGGGATATGAAAGAAGGAGCATACTACCACAAACCACACAAAGAGTACTAGCTTATCACCCACTTTGTTTTGTTAGCTTTGTTTGTTTGTTTGTTTGTTTGTTTGTTTCTTTATGTATTCTTATATTTATTTATTTCAACCCAGACTGTTCTCCGAGGGAGGCAACTTCTGCCCTGAAGAGATCGAAGAGTACAGGAAGAAGCTCGAGAAGATGTCGACCATGATTGACACGTCAGAGGGGTCCATCATGTCGGACCTGGAGGGGATGGAGTCCAAGAGGCTGGACAATGCCACCAAAATAGCTGTGGAGTTTGAGGACAGGTGATGAT